CTCTCCTGTCTGGGGAGGATGCTGTGTCTGCTCTGGCCCGTCTCAGGGAGCATCACAGAGGCTCCTTTCAGCAGAGGGCAATGTCGGGGGACTGGGAGGGGATGCAGTGCCCTTCTGCCTGTGGGCATAAAGACCCCCTTTCTCTTCTGCCGCGTCAGCCCTCTCTGGACTGGCGGGCAGAGGGGCCGCATTCTGGGAGGTTCTTGTCCTTCCTTTTAAAGTACAGGCGAGACTGGGGCCAGGCCAGACAATGGTGATGATTTACAGTCTGCTGGGCTGCAGGGCTGCCTGCTGGGCTGGCATCGACCAGAGAGTTCTGCACCACTGGCTCGGGCGGCTGCCTGCCCAGGACCCCGCAGTGGGGTGGGCGTCCCGACTTACCAGCTGCAAAGTGCAGGGGTTGTGTTGGTAATTTCAGAACCCCCCCACCCCAGCTCTGCTATTCTGGGGTGCCGCCTCCACTGGCCTCTTCTTGGGCCTGTTCATTCCAGGCTCATCTTTACCTGGATTTCTCAGTCCTAATCCGCGTCAGGTCCCTCACACTGCAGCTCTGACTTGCTCTCCTGGGACAGAGACCTGCCTTTGCAGGGAGACAGGCGGAAGTGAGGAGCACAAGGCGGCCGGGCGGGGGATGGTGAGACCCTGGGGGTCTCACCGAGGGAGGAGGGGCAGGCTGGGGAGCTGGTGGAACAACTCTGGGGGAGATGCCTGCAGGAAGCTGGCTCTCAGGCAGGGGAGTGCTGGAGAGTTAGAGGGAGAGAGGGGGACACCGGGGTGAGGGGGAACAAAGGAGGGAGAAAGAGAGGAAAAGAGAGAAGGACCAAGGCAATGAAGGAGAAAGCCAAGGAAAGTGAAAGTGAGAGAGGCCCAGGACAGAGAGGAACACACACGAAGGAGAGAACAAGAAAGATTCAGAGGAAGAGAGAGGGTGATGGGGAGAAAGCAGGAAAGCGGCAGAGAGTGGGGGAAGGAGAGGATGAGGGAGACCTAGGCCAGAGCCAGAGCCGCACGGAGCAGAAAGCAGAGCAGGTGAAGAGCCAGAGGGCTTCTCCCCAGACCTCCCCAGCCTTGGCCTCCCACTGCCCGCCCCGCGCCCCACAACCCCACCCCAATCCTCGCTGGCCCAGGAGGGAGGCGGGGGGCATGGCGGGGGCTGGTCTGTCCTCCACTGGGGACAACTGAGTTGGACAGAAGCAGGAACTTTTTGATGAAACAACAGAACAGGCCCTCAAGGGAAGTGTTCCCCTGTTGGAGCCCTGGCCTTCCCGAGGCAGGGGACTGGCCACCAAGACCTCTCCAAGGGCATGGGCTGCACCATCCTATTCTGGGTTGACAGGACCCAAATTTTTGGAGGAAGGTGGTTTTCTGACCATCTGCCTCGGTTTCCCCCTATGAGGCAGAGTGGTGGTCAGGGGCCTGAGTTCCCCGATGGGGTTGGGGCCAGAACTCTGGGGCCAAGGCGGGCTGGCAGGAGTCACAGTGTCTGTCTAGGTGGGACCAGTTCCTCTCCACCCCTAGCCTTTGTTCCAGGAAAAGGCAGCTGGGGGAGGGGGTGGAGGGCAGGAGTGTTTCCAGGGAAAAACCCATCCTTCCATGGAACAGGCAGCCTCCCGCCACACCACTTCACCCCTCCACCCCCACCCTACCCCCCTCCTGCCACCAGCTCCACTCCCTCCTCCCTCCCCTCTTGGCAGGAGGAGCCCAGCAGCTGGAAAAACCGTGCTGTGCTCCCACCTCAGCAGAGCTGAACCCATGGTGGCCCTGCAGAGGGGGCGGGGTGTGTGTGTGAGCATGTGTGTGAGTGTCTGTGTGCACACATGTGCATACAGGTGCTGCCTGGCCATCATCGCCTGCAGTCATGGGTGTGGGGGAGGCAGGGTGCCTCAGAGGGAAAGAGGCAGCCTGAACTGAGCACGTGGAGCCTCCGTTTTGTCATCTGAGATATGGGCATGCCCCTTGTCCCGCCCCCCGAATAGGGCTGATGTAAGGGTCACAGACGCCAAGAAGGGTGGAGCGGGAACATATCCCGGAGGCCCCTGGATACGCAGTGCACTTAACCATTCTGGTAACAGGTGCTGCTCTTACTCTCCCCCTTTCCCAGCTCAGAGACGGGCCAGCGGCTGTCCTGAGACTGGAGCCCGGTCTGACTGATGCAGGTACTGCCCCCGGGCGCCTCCTTCTCCCTCCAGGGCTCTGAGGCTCCTTGTCCCGCCCCCGTGAAGAGCTGCCTCTCTCCAGGGACCGGGGCCCTTTCTGGCCCAGAGGATCCCCAGAAACCACCTGCTCCAACTCCTTGTCACTCATTTGAGGAGCCTGAGGCCCAGGGGCCCGGAGCTTCAGGTTGCAAAGCACGTGAGGCAGGGCTGGGACTCCGGCTTCCTGCCTGGTGGTCCCGGGTGTGGGCCGTTTTTCTCTCTTCCTTCCTTTAAGCACAGGCTGGTTCCTGGTAGGGTTATCAACACAGGCACACTCCCCTTCCTCCCACTTTGCTGCCTGGCCCCAACCCCGCCGTTTTTCCCACCCGTCCCTGGAGAGGGGGCTGAGAAGGGTAGGATGGTGAGTGAGGCTTCTGGACAGCCCTTGGCCCCGCCCCTTTCTGGGACATGAATACCTCCCCCAACTGGCTGCTTGGAGGGACCCAGCCCTTCTCCAGACCCCAGCTTTGTACCCCAACACCCCTCATCAGGGTCTAGACCCCATGGCCTTTGGTTGGATGACCAAGGCCCCTGAGACCAGCTCCTTGGTTGGTCAGCCTGGAGACCACCTCCTACCCCCCATCCCCATCCCTCCCAGCCCCCACCCCCCAACAGGGGACAGGAAGTAGCCAAAACCATGCCCCTTCCCCAGTATCACCTACTTCCTGAGTCTGGGTCTGGGGAAGCTTCCAGAAGGTGGAGGGATTTAGGGAGTTGGTTGCCACTTCCCTAGTGGCTCAGAATTCACTTGTAAAGCAGGAGACCTGGGTTCGATCCCTGGGTCAGAAAGATTCCTTAGAGATGGGAATGGAAACCCACTCTAGTATTCTTGCCTGGAGAATCCCATGGACAGAGGAACCTGGCAGGCTACAGTCCATAAGGTCGCAAAGAGTCGGACACGACTGAGCAACTAGCACTCCCCTCCACTCGCCCGTCTAGGGGTGACTTGTGTGGGGATGATGCCCAAGGCAGAGAGAGGAGTGGGAGCTGGACAGGGCTGGGGAACGGACAAGAGCATCCTTGGCACAGAGGCTTTGCAGCTCTCCTAGAGCCTGCTGGACGCATAGCTCCAACCTCGGGGAGGGAGGTAGGACACAGCCAGAGGAGATGAGGCCGGGCAGCATAGACACCAGGCCTCCTGGGAAGACACTAGGGTAGGGTGATCCCACACATCTGGGTTTGGGCCACTGAGTCAGCCAGTAGCAGGCCTGAAGCCGCTGCCCTCCTGGGCTCAGCTGTCACATCTCATGTCTGTCTTCGGCTGCCCGGTTCTGAGCTCTGGGGTGCCTCAGATACCACAGCAGCCCTGGGTAGCTCCCACTTGGTTGGGGACACTGGACTCCCCTGAGGCAGGCGCTGCTCACGGGCACCTGGATCCCCAGGCTGGTGCGTCTGGTGCTGTGCAGTGGGCTGCTCTCAGCTCACCCCCTCCCGAGGCTGCCCTTGGCTGATGGGAGCCGCATAACACACAGATGCCTGGGAGGTAGTGAGCTGAGGCTGACCCATGTGGGCAGATAGCAGCACGGTCCCCCAGCCTGCAGAGTCCACGGCGTCTTCGGTACCATTCACCCTCCGGAGTCCCTGGGGATCAGGCTGAGGCAAGAGTTCTCCTGAGGCCGCATCCTACTGGGCTGCCTCCTTTGCCCTGTTGCCTGCTTCCCTCACTTTCACACGAACGGAGATTCTCAGTAAACCACTTGCATAAATATTGCATCTCAGGTCCTACTTCTAGGGAGTTTGAGCTCAGACACCCACAGAATCGACCTGGTGGCCTCGCTGATAGAATGATATCAGGGTTGGGGAAGAGGAATGGGGAGGCAGTCTTAGGGGCACAGGAAAGCCTGCTGGATGAGGTGACATTTGAATCAGGGCCTTGAAGGTTGAGTAAGAACTGTTGAGCTGAACAGTGCCTGTTTCATGTGACACATCTTGTTACATTGTTCAGTCACTAAGTCATGTCCGACTCTTTGCAACCCCATGGACTGCAGCATGCCAGGTTTCCCTGTCCTTCACTGTCTCCCAGAGTTTGCACAAACTTGTGTCCATTGAGTCAATCTTGCCTGATTTAATCGCTGAGGACCTGAGAAGTCAGAGGTGCAACACAAGCAAGGGCCCTGGGGCAGGAAAAAGCACTCAGTTACATCTGACTCTATGAGCTGCAGCCCACCAGGCTCCTCTGTCCATGGGATTCTCCAGGCAAGAATACTGGAGAGGGTTACCATTCCCTTCTATAGGGGATCTTCTTAACTCAGCTCAAACCTGGGTCTCCTGCCTTGCAGGTGAATATTTTACCTTCTGAGCTACCAGGGAAGCCCGGGAAAAGGCAGGGCATGTTCAGCGCAGGGAGTGGACCTGCGGTGGAGGAAAGGGAAGTAGGAGATGGGAAGTTAGGGCAGCCGTCACCCAGCCCCGCACAGCGTTTGCAGCTGATGGAGAGCCTGCTGAGCCCAGATGGAGCTTCAGAGTCCTCACACTATGTCTGCCAGGCTCTATCCACCTACTGGATTAGCACGTGAGGTGATCCGTTCAGGGTCCCTGCCCCAGAGAAAGGCCAGGCTGGGCCCACGATGGGATCTGTGGAGACCGGCCCAAGTACAGTACGGGCCTCCCCTGGGAAGCGGCCATTGTGGCCCATAAATAGGTTAGGCGGTCAGGAAACAGGAAATCCTGACAATACAATGAGGCCTGGGGTGCAGGGGTTTCCTCCAGGCCGAGGGCTGGATCGAGGAGGCTTCTTAGGCCAAAGGCTCTGCTGAAGCAAAGTCTCCCTGGTCACTGGCCTCAGATGCCCGGCTCTTCCCACAGTCCTCGGAGGCCGCGGGGCCCACCCTCACCCCACCCGGCCCAGACAAGGGCGGCTCAGGACAGGCCAGCACACGCCAGGACAGGCAGCGGAACCCCGAGGGAAGAGCTGTGATGGGCTCGGCTCCCAGCTGAGCTGGGACCCAGGCGGTGATGGGAGCAGCTGGGGCAGCCAGAGCAGGGACCAGCGGCCAGGCCAAGGAGGCTCCCCCCAGACCAGGGGGTGCTTCTGCCGGGCCCTCTGACCCAAGAGGCCCACACATCTCTAAATGGGTGTCAGTGGACCTGTCCCTGCTCTGGGCTCCCCAAGGGCGTGGTGAGCACCAGGCTGACCCTACCCAAACGCCAACAATGGAGAAACAAGACCCCTCATTAGAGAACCAGGCAGCCTGTAAAACCATGCCCCAGAAGAGTTTTATTAAGAAAAGCAAACAATAAAACACGATATCCTGTAGGATCCCAATTTTGTTAAAATACACACAAACATAAAAATGTGTGTGTGTGTGTGTGTGTGTGTGTGTGTGTGTACCCATGCATGCTCACAGAGGGAGCAGAAAAGAGTACCGACAAAAGGTCATAGCAGAGAGTATCAGGGGATTTTTATTTCTTCTTTGTTCTTTTCTGAACATTCTAATTTTTCCACTGTGAACTTTGTAACCATTAAAACACACACACACACACCCAAATCCTGCAATACCTGTTTTCTTTTAAGCACAATATTTACAAAGAGTTTTTAAAGAAGGGGGGAAATGTTGATACCAAGCTGAGGGGAAAACAGGATACAGTGTTGTATACATCGTATGTAAAGAACAAGAATATCAGGGCAGGAAGGGGCTAGGAAGGAAACACACGGGGTGTCAGGGCCGGTGGCTTTGCGGGGATACCACCATGGTTCTGTCCACCTAGTGTGAGAATCCCCACACTTTTGTGTGTCTACTGTACCCCGAGTCTTTAACGTCTTTGTCAATCCAGAGAGCAGAAAATAGAGTCTTGTTGTGATTCGATCCAGGGGGTGGCACATAGACTCTCATAATTTACACATCCTTGATTACTGAGCCTCTTTCCACCCAAGACATTTTATTATGAAAATTCTCAACATACAAAAAAGTAGAAAGAATCATACAATGAACATCCATTGACCCACCATGTAGGCTTTGCAATTTACATTTTACTAGACTTGTCTTGGGCTTCCCTGGTGATTCAGACGGTAAAGAACCCACCTGCCAGTGCGGGAGACCCGAGTTTGATCCCTGGGTCAGGAAGATTCCCTGGAGAAGGGAGTGGCAACCCACTCCAGTATTCTTGCCTGGGAAATCCCACGGACAGAGGAGCCTGGCAGGCTAGAGTTCATGGGGTTGCAAAAGAGTCAGACACGACTTAGCGACTCAACAACAGCTCAGGAATAGCTGGATGGACTTGATGCATAGGGCAGGTATATGGGAAGGGACTCAGAACGTCTATGTCCTCTCTGAGCACCACTCTGCCCACATCTGTATGTGTTCACCAGCCTGGAAGCTCTGCAAACCCCACCCTTTGGGGGTTTTATGGAGGCTTCATTACGTTGGCTTAATAGAGCAAATCATTGGCCATTGGTGACTGACCTTAACCACTGACTCCTCTTCCCTCACCAGAAACTGGGGTAGAACTGAAAGCTCCAACCCTCCAATCCTGTGGTTGGTTCCCTTGACAACCTGCCCCCAGTCTTAGCTTACCTGGGGGCTTTCCAAAAATCACTTCAATAGAGTAACAGGATACCTTTATTGCTCTCATCACTTAGGAAATTCCAAGAGATTTATAAGCTGTGTGCCAGGAACCCAGAGGAAGACCAAGCGTGTATTTTTTTATTATCAATCACAATATCATAGTACTGCTTTGAATTTTCATAACATGCCTTTTCATGAGTATATGTGAGCATTTTTGCTGCATATGGAGCAAGGCTTCTGGCTCAGAGAGTGTACGTATGTCCAGCTTTCCCATATGATGCCAAACTGTTTTCCAAAGTTATATAATTTGTATTCCTGTCAACAGGGAATGAGAGTTCTGGTTGCTCTGCATCCTTGTCAACACTTGGCATAATCTTCTGTTTTCCTTCTAGCCATTCTGGTGAGTAGATGGCAGGATTGCATTGTTGATTTCACTTGCATTTCCCTGATGGCTAATGAAGTTAAGCATGTCTTCGTATGTTTATTGGTTATGGGAATATCTTTTTTAAAATAAAGTGCTGACCTAGTCTTCTGCCCATTTTTCTTCTGGATGATCTTTTCCCCCTTCTTGATTTACAGATGTTCTTTATATATTTTGGATACAGATGTTTTGTTAGATATACAGATTGCAAGTATCTTCTTCTGCTCTGCGACTTCCTCTTCATTTTCATAATGGTGTCTGGTGAGGGACATTCTTAATTTTAAAACATTGCTTTCTAAAGTAATCTTGAAAAAGATTTGTTTACAGTGTTATTTTAACACTTGCAACTGTGAAGTCATATCCCCAGGAAAAATTACGGCATGTGTGTTAAATGCCCCTGCCTCCTCTCTCCCCCACAACCAATCCTGTTGAGTGTCCGCCATAAATATCTCAAATTAGAATTCACTGAGGTCATTTCAGGCTATTGTGTCTTCCACAGTAGTACTTCCTTCTTTGAAATAAAGGAATCAGAAATCCTCAGGTAATGGGAGCCTTTATCAGAACTTATATATACAGTAAAGGGACGTCCTCTTTTCTGAGAGAGATTTTCTGGAGGGGAAAAACGTTGCCTAATATTCAGGCACAGCCAGTCTGTACAGACATATTCTCTGCTTCAGGGCTGTAATAGAAAAATATTGAAGGGGGCTTCCCTGGTGGCTCAGTGGTAGAGAATCCACCTGCCAATTCAGGAGACACGGGTTTGATCTCTGGTCCGGAAAGACCCCACAGGCCCCAGAGCAACTAAGTCCGTGCACAACTATTGACCCCATGCTCTAGAGCCCGTGTACTGCAAATACTGAAGCCCATGGACCCTAGAGCCCGTGCTCCACAAGAGAAGCCACCCCAACGAGAAGCCTATGCACTGCTACTAAAGACAGAAGCCCCTGCTCACCGCAACTAGAGAAAAGCCGGTGCAGGAACAAAGACCCAGCACAGCCAACAAATAAATAAGTAAAATTATGTTTTAAGAGAAAGAATGATCCTGGAGGGATTCCCTGGCAGTCCAGTGGTTAGGACTCCTCGCTTCCACTGCTGGGGACCTGGGTTCAACCCTTGGTCAGTGAACTAAGATCTTGCAAGCTACGTGAAGAGGTCAAAAATAAAGAGAAAAATTTGGGAATACCCACACATCCTAATTATGGTACATTCATTCAGTGGAATGCTAAAGAGCTATTCAATAAAGACAAGATGAATTTATGCATAAGAATGTAGACTTAAGAGGGGAAAAAAGCCAAGAGTGGAACAGTCTGTGTGGTAAACTGTGCATACATCTTGAAAATGCAGTCTGCTTGGAAGGACTCACACCAGCGATAGGAAGGGGGTGGTGGTTCAGGAGTAGAAGAGAGCCTTATATTCTTTTGCAAATCATTGGGGGGCATTCAACATATTTTTAACCTGTGTGTGTACCCACCAAACTAATTGAAAATTTAAAAATACAAAATATAGGCATTTGAAAAGGAATACAATACATACATCCTAAGAAATCATGGGGCTGCAAATAGTCGGACACGACTGACCAATTAAGTACACACATTGGTATATCTATACCTATGTCTATATCTATAGCCATAATTTTATATGTACATAACTGAGCAAGGACTCCTGTGCCCACGGTGCAGTGCAGACAGCCAAACTCTGATAGCCAGTGTTTGCAGCAAAATAAGGGTTTATTTGCAGGGCACCAAACTAGGAAGTGGGAGCCAAGCCTCAGATCCATTCCATTTTTGTCTTTAAGTTAAGGGTGTTTGAGTTAAGGGTGTTTTAAAGGTTAAGAACAAAGGAAGTGTGATTAATCATTGGCTTGTGACATTCTGTGACATTTCTTAGTCGCAAGTTTGGGAATCAGGATGTCTTGAGCTTATGATTCTTTGGCTAGGTGGTCCATGGCTCAGGTGGGGCTAGGGGGCTTGTCTGTGAGCTCATCTTGCCCTGGAGAAACAACCCAGGTTTGTATATTAATGGTGAATCTGCAATAGCAACCTTAGAACACTAATGATGTTACGGACAACAGCGATCTGAGTCATCTGACTCAGGTTGATTAGGGCTCAGTTAGCGCAGGACGGAGATCAGAGGGTACAAGAAAGAGGTTGAAGTCAGAAGAGACAGGGCAGGCGGGTCAAGTTTTGGATAGAGATATTAATCATAAACTTAGTAAGGGGATTTGGTTTTAGGGGGACTCAGATTCATGTGTACATAAATATATATAGTTCTTTACAAGGAAGGATTCACCAAGGTGCAAAAGTACCTAGAAAGTCATAATGTGGCCCTGGGCACACTCTTTCCATAAAAGGCCCCATAGTAAATATATTAAGCTTGGAGGCCAGCTGGTCTCTGTTTTGACTGAACTTTGCCTGCAGCAGAAAGCAACCATCACTTAAACAGATGGAGGGGAGTGGCTGTGTTCCAACAAAGCTTTATTTACAAAAACAGGAGGTGGGTGGGCTTTGGTCCAGGGCCAACCTGGTTGGTGCCTGAGACGTTTCAGTATTTGTTGAATGAATGGATGAACCAGAGAGGGTGGGATTGCTATCAGGCCTGACCCTTGTTGGGCTTCCCTGGTGTCTCAGATGGTAAAGAATCTCCCCGCAATGCTGGAAACCCGGGTTCAATCCCTGGATCAGGAAAATCCCCTGGAGAAAGGAATGGTACCCACTCCAGTATTCTTGCCTGAGAATTCCTCGGACAGAGGAACGTGGCGGGCTGCAGTCCATGGGGTCTCACACGACTGAGGGACTGACACTTTTCTGATCCTTGTCCGTGGTTGAGTTTGGGTTTGGTTGGGAAGTGGGGAGTGGATACTGGGTGGGGATCAGTTTTCATGTTCTCAGCCCCCCACTTGCTGTGTGACCTCGGGCAAGCTACCCTCCCTTGCTGGGCTTCAGCTCCCTATCTGTGATGTGAAGGCTGTACTCACCATTTGCTGGACTGTGATGAGAGAATGAAATGTAACT